AAATAAAAAAATAATTAACATTAAATTATAAAACAACGATGATAATAGAGGAACATACTAATTTTTTTAAAAATGATTATCTAATTAGGTTTCAATGTGTCTTCAGTGCTATCTATCGATCATCATTCTATCTATCTATCTTTAAAAAAATCCACCAATAGGAGAAAAATAAAGAAATTTAGCGGCGATATCAAATGGACAGTATTACTACTAATCATACTAGGGTGGACTATACCCAGTGTAGAGTCGACCCAGAACATTTTATGCAACAAATACAGCCTGGCAAGGTCACAGTGTGCATGAAACCAAGCTTTATAAAATTTTGGTTACTATAATCTTTATTTATAAATAATAGGTTACACTTGTGTTTGGTCATTAATATCGTGTTGTTTAACTAAAAAAACTAAATATGTTTTATCTGCGCTGGAAAAATTTCTGCAAATACGCGACTAACTCTTGATTAAAAATCCTATTTTTCAAAAAAGTAAATTTTTGACATTTTTCTATTTTTTCGGTGTTAATTTTTTAAAATGTCAAGTGGAAAAGTTCTGAAATTATATATCTTTTTTAAAATCTATAAGAAACAATGATGAATATTCTTTTATACGTGGAAATTTAAAAACTGTAGCAGCAAGACAACTGCTTTTAAATCGTTAAAGCAGAAAAACCACTGAAATTTCTCACAAATTTGACAAATTCTTAACAATCGTGTTTCTTTGGTAAAGGATTGAACAGCCTTTCTAAGGCAGTAAAGTTGCCAAGCTGTATATATCGTAAGAAGTTTTGATTGGTCAATCGAAATTTATAAAATCGAAATTTATAAAATCGAAATTTATAAAATCGAAATTTATAAAATCGAAATTTATAAAATCGAAATTTATAAAATCAAATTTATAAAATCAAAATCTATAGACTTGATCAATTTTATCATATGTGTACACTGCACAGTGATCCGAAGGTTGCAATTTTGCACTGAGACATTTAGACAACTCTGAAAGTTAGTCCTCAAATTTTAAAGTGTCGCAAGTCGCAACGCCTTGGTCTTTTAAATTGCATTGAGCTTGTTTCTAGCTTAAGTACGTTTAAATGGAGTAATTTGTAAAACACTGTTATATTTTTGCAGGTTCGATTTCTATAAATTGAAGAAAAAAAAATACCTTATTAATTAAATCCCCCCCCCCTAGTTTTGCACATTTTTTGCATAGCACTCGTTGAAGGAAGGTATATTGTTCCGTAATACAATTTCATTTAGCTGGGACAAATTCCGAGCCGGTATATATATCACACTTATATCCGGATAGCTTTGAAAATGATAGATTTTTAGGATGGCGTCAACTTTTAAAGGGACCGTTCACTTATTTGGATAATTTCATGGTAAACTAATAAGTCTATTAGCTGTTCTTGGGTATTAGTCTTATTTTTCAAAGCTATAATGACCGGAGAAAAAGCCATTATCGTTTAGAATTCCAGTGGAAAAGTATGATTGCAGATATCTTGCATAAACACTATTTAAACATTTTTTCAGTAGCAACAACCCAATAAAATATAAAATTGTCATATTTTAATGCCATCATGTGGCAGCCATTATATTATAAAATATAAAAACTTTTGATTTTAGAATAGCAAACAAATACACGATTTTAGTGTTAAAACATGATTTCACAAATTATAAGGTTTACATAAAGACGACTTTATCTCTCAGACAAACCGGTTCTTAGATTCCAACTCTTCAATAAATCACGGGGATTCCTGGGGACGACGTAGGGAAAATGTATCAAACCGTCAAATGTTTAAAATAAGTTATATTTTGAAAATAGACAATTTAAAAATAATTTTGAAAAAAATTAAAGCTATCTACAATTAACTATTAGATACTATTCACTCTAAAAGTATAGCATGATCCGTCCGAGACGGTACAACATGTACTGTACATGCATTCAGTCGTACTGTCTAGTCTGGACTTCCCTGTGTGGAGTCGACCTATCTCGTTTTATGCGACAAATGTAGGCTGGCAAGACCACAGTGCACTTTAGATCATTTGTACAAGTACAAGTCATAGTACAAATAAAAATGAAGCGGAGTTTTGAGTGCATAGTTGGTTAAGATCAAGGTATTAATGCAAGGAAAGTTAGTTCAGAGGTGTACGCATTTTTTGTACTGCAGTTTACTGTCTTTGGGCGGAAAAGTAAACACCAGACAGATGTCACAGCCTGAACATGGAATCCATCTAATAATAAATAATCTATGAAATATTCTGGTCATAGGAAATTATTATGTGAATTTTCAAAAATTATTGGTTTCAATATGTATGCAGAGTATACGCGACCGCAATTAACTTTCCTTGCATTAGTTCCTTGGTTAATATCAAGGTAAGGTAAGGCCATAAGAGAATTGTGTACTCAGCTAAATTAATTCATTATTATTAAATATTTAAAATTCATGTCGAAACTGCAAATTATTGTTTTGGCAAAGGCTTAATTAAATGGAATCTAATTATCAGACCACTAAGCCAGTTTTTAGCCACCGAAACCGAGTTCATAGTGTATTCCAGAATAAATTTGTGAACAGTAAATGAATTCTCTTATAGCCCACCGTTGGTTAATTTACTTTGATAGAAGTTAATTTGTTTTACTTTAACATTATTAGTCTGTGCAACCTGTTCCTTTGCAGTATATTGCTTTAACCATCATGAATGAATAAATGGAAAGAAATTACATGCTGCGGTATTAATCATAATTTCTTCACAAGCACGCTGCGGTATTAATCATAATTTCTTCACAAACACACTGCGGTAATAATCATAATTTCTACACAAACACGCTGTTGTATTAATCATAATTTCTTCACAAACACACTGCGGTAATAATCATAATTTCTTCACAAACACACTGCGGTATTAATCATAATTTCTTCACAAACACACTGCGGTAATAATCATAATTTATTCACAAACATGCTGTACAAATTTTCAAAACTTGAGATAGATTTTTGTAATAACTTTTCTTGGCTTTTCACATTCAATGAGAACCAAATAGTAGATAAGTTAATGTAACTGAATTATAGGGTTTCTAATAAAAATAATTGTTGAAGACAAGAGTATTGATTTAAGAATATAAATTTTATGTCAATAAACTAAAATAGGTAAAAAAAACGGAGGCTGTATTGCATCAACTGAAAAAATTGTTAATTCCAAAATATATTTTTTCCCCAGAAAGCAAATAGATTAAAACCATGTATTTAGCTAATTTTCAGTTTTAAGTATATAATGTGAATTGATGCAAATATTTGTTCTGTGGCGTGGATTAGCATTTTAGAAAATTTTGCGGCGTGTATTAAAGTCTCCCTCTGTGGTTTAGACTATTTTTCATTTCTTCTGTCCCTACCGTATAATATATATAATATATATACAGGGTAGTATCCCCAGAAATCTAATTTCTTTAAACCTGCACTGTAATGGAGTAATTTACAGATATATATTTTATTTGGAAAAATGCTTTACATTTAATTCTAAACCTTCTGCCCCGTCATGTTTTCATAACATTGTTCTGATATGGTGCAAGTGGAACCAGGAAATTTGAAAAATTTGTGGGGCTTTGCGGCCCCTGAACCTGTACATAATAACTTATATTTGCGGCCCCTGAACCTGTCCATAACAGCACATATTTGCGGCCCCTGAACCTATCCATAACAGCACATATTTGCGGCCCCTGAACCTGTCCATAATAGCACATATTTGCGGCCCCTGAACCTGTTCATCATAGAACATATTTGCGGCCCCTGAACCTGTTCATCATAGCCCATATTTGTGGCCCCTGAACCTGTTCATAATAGCACATATTTGCGGCTCCTGAACCTGTTCATCATAGCACATATTTGCGGCCCCTGAACCTGTTCATCATAGCACATATTTGCGGCCCCTGAACCTGTTCATCATAGCACATATTTGCGGCCCCTGAACCTGTTCATCATAGCAAAATATTTGCGGCCCTTGAACCTGTTCATCATAGCAACATATTTGCGGCCCCTGAACCTGTCCATAATAGCACATATTTGCGGCCCCTGAACCTGTCCATAATAGCACATATTTGCGGCCCCTGAACCTGTCCATAATAGCACATATTTGCGGCCCCTGAACCTGTTCATCATAGCACATATTGAGTAGAAAATTGTTTTGCAGAACATCTAATAAAATATAATATATTCAAACAACTTAAAACCACATCTTTTAGAACTCATTCGAATTCTCCCATTTAATTATAATCGAAAATTTAAAAAAATCAACAAATTCTTTAAAAAATGAGATTTTTGTTCACAATGTTGGAGGCTTCTGGAGGAACACTTCTATCCTCCAGGACTGAGTAGAGAATCCTGAAAATTAAATAAAGGGACTGTACGCGTAATTTCAAGAGATTCTCAAAGCAAGGATGGCAATGTCCGATTCACAACGGAACCCTTAAAAGCTTTATCTGATCAAGTTTGAATTAGACATCAATGTTTTCGTTTCTATAAAACTGTTTATTTTTATTTGTGGTTTCTCTGCAAAAGTGATTTGTGCATTTCAAGCTTTTAAGAAACAATGGGAAAGTTCTCAGAAATAAACACTTTATATAGTAAAGAAAGAGACGTTATCTATTAAATTTTACTCTATCGGATTAAGGTTTCAAGGGTACCATTGTGAATCGGAACGGCAGTGCTATCTTAGCATTAAGAATAAATTTAACTTAATTTTTTTTGGTTCGTTGTTAGAAAAAATCCTAACATTTTGTTTGTAATATTAAACTCCTAGAATATATATATATATATATATATATATACTGAGATTGAACTACAGAAAACATTTTGAAATTACGACTTTTTTGTTAGAAATCAAGAACATAATTTTAGGGTCATCTGTTATCTCACAAATCTTAACATCCCTAAAATTATTTTATTAATATCGATCAAAATGTTCGTCATTTTTAAATTATCAAATATTTAAGATTTGTTTACCTTTTTTTCAATATAAGATCGCAAAGTGCAAAAATATTCGTTAAAATTCTTAAACATTAAACTAGAAGTTTTGTTACCATTAAGATTTTGTGTTGTATCGCTGTTATCATTGTTGTTTAGTGGATGCTCTCCACTAGTATTTGTATCATCCAGTGGTCGATTTATGTCCATATCGCTTTCATTTACTAAGAAAATGTTCATAGAAAAATTGAATGGAGGTGCAAAAATCACGTGAATTAAGAAGGAAATTGAAGTTTTTTATTTTGGATAGAAAATAATGATAAAAAGTCTAACAAAGAAAGGCTTCAGAATTTTTGAACCCTCATTATCTTTTAAAAATTGTCGGATTTATTAGAAACTATGCAAACTTTGGTTTTAAAAAGATACAAAAACTTTTAAAATCGTACAAACCAGAAAACTGTAGAATGTAAGGACGACATTAAAAATCTTCAAGTGAATTTGATGTTTTTACAAACTAAATACTTTTTACATTATACGTATACAATTGCTGTGTATCATGTTAATTGTACTATTGTATCTTTAATGTTGCTGAATCAATACTGTACATAAAATTTAGATTACAAATATACCTGGACTGTACATTCTAGGAGGTTCCAAACTAGTTTCTATTATTGCTGTGCTGTACAAAGTAGAACTAGGGCCTAGACTGAAGGAAGGCAAAGAACCGGTTTCTGGTTTGGTTTGGTTGTCTAGGCTGAGGGGAGTTAAAGAACCGGTTTCTGGTTTGGTTTCTTTGTCTAAGCTGAGAGAGGGCAAAGAACCGGTTTCTGGTATGGTTAGGTAGTCTTGGCTCGTCTCGTTTACAAGAACAGGGATGCAGTAGGAATAGGACACCAGAAAAACGGTTGCCTGAACAAACAATTAAACTAGTTCATTTAAAAATAAATTTTCTGATGATTCAGGCTTTTAACTTCTCAAATTTTGGCTAAATTGATAGATATATGCTTTATTTTGAGGTGAGAAGACAAACTTATTTTTATTTTATGGTGACGATAGGAATCAGAATTAATAGAAATGGCGGCGGCGGTAACATCTATTTATCTACATATTTATCTCATCATCCACTTAGGATGAATCCTGAAATCAGTGCTTAACAGAAAACTGAATTGTGTCCTTAAAAACTGAATTGTGTCCTTAAAAACGGAATTGTGTCCTTAAAAACTGAATTGTGTCCTTAAAAACGGAATTGTGTCCTTAAAAACGGAATTGTGTCCTTAAAAACTGAATTGTGTCCTTAAAAACAAGGATGTGTTCATATCGCTCAAGCTGATTTAAATTCGGCCCGTTACTTTAAATTAACAAGAGCTGAAAACTTTAGAATGGTGGATATTGAGATCAATGCTTGATCTCCTCTTTTTCTTAATCTCAAGATTAAATAATGCTTGTTCTCCTCTTGTTAATAATCTCCAGATTAATTAACCGATCAGGATTAAGGATATCCCATTCAAAAGTTCCCAGCTCAGAGTTTACAGAGGCGCGAAGATTGATGGGAGATTTGTTTACATCTGACGTATTTTTTATCTTATAAACAGGGAAACAAGTGTAAGACGAAATCACTAAAATCTTAAATATTTTGTTACCACGATCTGATGGAGCTGATGTGATACTGCTGATTTCAACATGTTCGAGACCAAAGATTCATATTTTAATTATATTTCTAAAATATTTAAGATGAAATAAAGTAATGCTTAAGACCAAGGTACTAATGCAAGGAAAGTTAATTGCGGTCGAGTATACTCTGCGTACATATTGAAGCCAGTTCTCTCTGGGCGGAATTTGTAAACAAGAATAGATGCATCAGTGTTCGTCTAGTATCCGAGGAGGATTAAAGCATTTAATTTTGATAATTTTGAAAATTCAAATAATAGTTTCCTATGACCAGAATATTTCATAGATTATTTTGAGAAAATGGATTCCATGTCAGGCTGTGACATCCATCTTGTGTTTACTTTTCCGCCCAAAGACAGTACACTGCAGTACAAAAAATGCGTACACCTCTGAAATAACTTTCCTTGCATTAGTACCTTGCTTAAGACAAGATATGATGCACGTCAAACTAAAACACGACAAACTAAAGTAAATTGCACGTCAAACTAAAGTGAATTGCACATCAAACTAAAGTAAATTGCACGTCAGACTAAAGTAAATTGCACGTCAGACTAAAGTAAATTGTACGTCAAACTAAAGTGAATTGCACATCAAACTAAAGTAAATTGCACGTCAAACTAAAGTAAATTGCACGTCAAACTAAAGTAACTTACACGTCAAACTAAAGTAAATTGCACATCAAACTAAAGTAAATTGCACGTCAGACTAAAGTAAATTGCACCTACCCAAACTAAAGTAAATTTCACGTAAGATTTAAATCTTATGTTTTCAATCATAACTCCTCTTATTGAAGATTGAAGACATAATATTAAAATAAAGAAATGGATTCTAAACCAGACAGAAGAAGAACATTGTGATCTCGTAGCTCCTCCAGTACGCACATATTAGTAATTCAGAATGTTTTGTTCTTCTCAATAGCTCAACAAATTATATAAAAATATTTCATTCTTACCTGTAATTTCCTTTAGTTTAACGTGAAGGATACGAATAGAAAGGAGAGATGAACAAAAACCAAACACCTTGACCTTTAATCAAAACCTCTTCTATATAAAAAATACTAATAATCCTTTATAAAGTTCCAAATATCAAACATTAACTTCAATTTCATGCATAACACTGTCTGTGTCACACAGTCACACTACATAACCAAATCATTTCACCTTCGCAGGGATATATCATAACATTTATAATGATAATAATAATAATAATAACAATAATAAAAAAAATAATAATAACCCCTGTTAGTTATTTATTATAGATTAAAGTAATTATCTAATTTCTAAAACCAACCAAAATCAATCATCCAAAAATGTTTTAGCTTTCCACTTCGATTCATCCTTTCACCAACATATTAGAATGCTTTATACCTCTATTCATCTATGCATTATACTGTTATCTATATACCCATTTATACCTCTACTCATCCATGCATTATGCTGTTATCTATATACCCATTTATACCTCTACTCATCCATATTTCTTCTATATAATAAAGCTCCTTGTCCATATATATATATATAGCATATACATAATTATTTATTTTGGTGTATGTGTTCGCTAAAGCTGGCCGAACGGCCAACTGGACCTTAATTGCTGTACTTTTTTAAGCTATTGTTTTTAAGCTATTGTTTTTAAACAATTGTTTTTAGGTATTGTTTTTAAACTATTGCTTTTTAGGTATTGTTTTTAAGGTATTGTTTTTAAGGTATTGTTTTTAAGGTATTGTTTTTAAACTATTGTTTTTAAGTTATTGTTTTTAAGGTATTGTTTTTAAACTATTGTTTTAAAACTATTGTTTTTAAACTATTGTTTTTAAGCTATTGTATTTAAACTATTGTTTTTAAGTTATTGTTTTTAAGTTATTGTTTTTAAGTTATTGTTTTTAAGGTATTGTTTTTAAACTATTGTTTTTAAGGTATTGTTTTTAAGCTATTGTTTTTTAAGGTATTGTTTTTAAACTATTGTTTTTAAGGTATTGTTTTTAGGTATTGTTTTTAAACTATTGTTTTAAGTTATTTAGTATGTAAGGTCTTTAAACGCTATTGTAATAAATTTTGGGGCTATATTAGTATACTATCTTTATCATCTATGCTTCGTTTATCTATTAACTATGTTGTGTTTGACCCTGACCGGCTAGCCCGGTCAACTTATATTTACCTGTATTAATAAATTAGTATAGTATCAATAGTCGTTTCAAACGGACGTACAGAGCCAGGGTTTTGGCTAGAGAGATAGAGTCTTGCAGACTGATCATTAGAGTTTGAGTCACTTATAGAGAGTTTAATCGGGACCTAGATGACCTAGATGACCTAGAAGACCTAGATCGTTACACTATGTTTGGCGGATTTTGAATGAGAGATAAAAATATGACAGAAAATGTTCCGATAGTTTTCGTGACAGGTCAATCGTACCGTTGATTCTTCATGACAGTGTTCTTAAATGGGGGGGGGCGGCAGAGGTTTAAAAATGAATGTCAAGGAAAACGGAGAAATGTTTTATGCAGAGCTTTGCTAGGACTTGTCAAAACAGGTTCTTTTTAAAGCGTATCTTTTATTCCCATTATTGGCTTAGACAATATTTTTTTGTTCTCAAAAATGTTTTTTGTCCACAAAATCGATTCACATCTCTAGATCTCTGTATTTTCATATCTCTCTGGTTACAACCAAAAGAATCTATTTCATGGGTTAAAATGATAATCATCATGATGATATTCAGGCCCATAATATTCTGGTCCATATGGATAATATTCTTCTGGTCCATATGCATAACCCTCATAATAATCATATGCATATGGTCCATAACCATCATTATATGCATAACCACAATTCTCAAAGACACAGGTATAATCCAATCCAATAACAATTCCATTCATGGTTATATTAACAGGCTTCCTCTCTGGTCGAGAAATCTAAAATACAACATGAAATACTTAAATGATTTTTAAATTATGTTTAAGGGATAACAGACATAATCTTCAAGGACCTTCTATTTATATTGTGGTGTGTCTGATACACAATGGTACCTTCAAACCTTTGTGTAATAATTGACGATAAGGTAATCCGACGTTTTCTCTCTGAAAATATAAAATAGTAGCTGAAGTGCCCGGCGTTGCCCGTGGGTGTTTTTTTAAATCGAATTAGAAATAAAAAAAATTTCGAATTTTGAAAAAAAAAGTTTGAACTTTGTTTAGCCTTTGCAGTTACCCCTGGGATACTCCAGGGTTCCCTAAAATAATTCAGCCCATTCGGTTCAGTCTTTTGACCAGCTAAAGCTAACATACATATAAATATATATATGAGCGAAGAGAATCATTATATTATAGATTGTGAATGCACTTAAAGTGTGAACTCTATGCAAATGGTATTTATACTTATTTCACGATCTAGAAATCTTATGAATCCTGGAAAGTTAAAAATTCGAATGAAAATATCCATTTTCTGCGATTACTGGAAAATAGAAAAATGTTTTCAAGTAAAAACACTTTTCAAAAAATGTATCAACAATAAACAAGGATGACAGAGGTTTAAAGGGTATTGTTGTGAATTGAACATGCATACCTCTCTACGAATAAAATCACGCCCACAGTTCCTTTAATACAGTTCAAATTCAATGTAACATTTAGAGCATATTTGAAATAAATGATTTTACTCATAGATTAATTAACAATGACAGATAGAACACTAGATGTAATTTCTTTTCAAGATTTACGGGGTTTCCTTCACCTCTTTAGTTTGTATTAAGTATTTCTTCCCAGAAATTTGGACAAGATAACATAGAAACAGAGGAACTATCAACTGATTCATCGCCATTCTGCAATTAGAAAATAAAAATTGTTATAATTATGAGATTTGTTTATTTTATCCTGCAAAATTGGATAATCGTTGCTTGATCTGAATCAGGGCAGGCGCTAAAGGGACACTATAAGAGTAACTTCAAGTAACCCTCCATTCAAAGAGGACAATGACCGATTTACAACGGTACCCTTGAAAATAATCAGTTTTCAAAATTGTAAACATTAATATATAATTCATACTTGCCCCCTTTGCATGGGGATGGTCACTTGAAATTACGCTTACAGTCCCTTTAAGTTGCGTTCAGCCAATCCAGTAAAATCGTTCTGTATATGCATTTATTTGTACCGGCTCGTCTCGTATACCTAGAGATGGGCATCATTTTATTCTAATTTACATACAGGGTGTCCCACGAAACATGGCAGTTAGTGAATGTTTTAAAATGTAATCTTCCATAATTTCTAAAGTTGTTTGATACCAAAGAGAATAATAAACCATATTGTATGGGAGTCATCTTGCGGTAAAATTGATTTCAAAGTAAAATATATTTGAGAAAAAGATTTTTAAAACAAAATAAACCACAACAAGTCTTTAATATATAAAACAGTATCATGGAAGACGACATTCAAAACTATTCACTAACTGTCATATTTCGTGCTACACCCTGTACATAAATAAATTATCAAATACTTTTCCTGAACTAAAGATATTACATAGAATTACAATTTACATGCCTTGTACCAGGAGAATTTAAATACTAAAATAATTCTACTATTTATTATAAATAATGGAAATTTGATATATGGATATTAATAATAACAATAACTAATAACAATGAATTCATTATTATAGATCGGAAAACAATCAAAACCATAGTTTTATATTTCTAAAGCAGAATTGAATCTTTGCCACAAACTCTGGTTATCTAATCCCTGTATCTTTGCAACCAATGTCGTAGACCTTAGATATTTCAAGCTGAGAATTCTGTTAAATAAAATAATTTTAAGTTTGAAATGTTCAGAGTTTGTACCATAAGGTTGGAAACGCATAAGGATTAGAAAATTTGACTTTGTGGCAAAAAATTAATTCCTTATGTCAGAAATGTATTGTAAAGTAAGGTTCAGGAATGTATTGTAAAGCAAGGTCAGAAATGTATTGTAAAGTAAGGTTCAGAAATGTATGAATGTATTGTAAAGCAAGGTTCAGAAATGTATTGTAAAGCAAGGTTCAGGAATGTATTGTAAAGCAAGGTTCAGAAATGTATTGTAAAGCAAGGTTCATTCAGGAATGTATTGTAAAGCAAGGTTCAGGAATGAATTGTAAAGCAAGGTTCAGGAATGTATTGTAAAGCAAGGTCAGGAATGTATTGTAAAGGAAGGTTCAGGAATGTATTATAAAGCAAGGTTCAGGAATGTGTTTGTCTTGGATATGGGAAAATTCATCTCATTATAAAATGGTTTACATAAATAACCCTTCTTGAACGCCTTTCTCGATATCCAATGTGAACACTTTTAAACTAATTAAAATCAAATATCGATACGTTTTCATACCTTGATAGTAAAACCAAGCCTGCATTATAATAATATTAGCTTGAGAACTCAGCTTTGGCTGGAAATCTAAGGTTTGAACCCAATCAAAATTTTAAACAAAGCGGTAAAAAAGGTTCAGTTTTGTTATTATAAAAGGTGCAGCCTAAAAAAAAGAGAAAACAATTTTTGTTAAATTTTTGCAATTAGGCTGTCTTTGGAAAGCTCTATATTTTCTCTTTCAACGCCTCATATTTCTTTTGTTACAACCATTTCTTTGAGTAACAGTCAAACAGTCCTTACATTCAGACGCAGATACTTGAACAATTTACATTTTACATAGATGTTTCGCTGCACTGCTTAATCTATGTAAATAAACAGTGTAGATACTTCATTACTTCTTGCCGGAACAAAACCTGTTTATAATCCGTGTGATTAAAAGTCAGTGACAAGTCTGGTATTGTTCCTTTATTCATTCATTTACCCTCCCCTCTTCCTGCCTTATACTTTATACCCCCCCCCTCTCCCGTGTTTGTAAAAAATGCCTTCTTTTTGAGCGAAAATTTTATGTTTTTTTAAAAAGAAAATGGTATTGAAGGTTTTAAAAGCTAGTTTTTGTACATTTTCTTTACACTTTTCAGATTATTAAATGCCTTTTTTTCGAAATCAGAAAATGTAAGTACTTTCAAACTAGAGGTTTTTGCAGTAGTGAGATTTGAAATTCCAAAATGAGAAAATATAATTTCAACTTTTATTTTCAAACTCTGGTATTGGCGGTAGTGAGATTTCAAAAT